GCCAACCTTCCCCATCGCAGATGACGACAGCGTCTATTGCGATGCGGACGTCCGGCGCACGCTGAGGCGGACGGAGCAAGTGTGTTGGCAAGACCCGCCTCGRGCTTGTGAGATAAGGGGGAACGGGTTTGTTTTGATTCATCGTTTTGATTCCCCGACTCTAGTACTGCCTTATATGGGTTTGACGGTGTTGCCCTGGTCGGCCACTCACGCCGCGTGGCGGCCGCAGTTTGATTGTYGCTGGTGTCGCCAGGGGGACTCATGTTCTTGGCGACGCCTGGTCCTGGGTTACGAGGGAGCGACACGTTTCCCCGAGCTTTCCCGTAGTGCGGGGGCGCTGCCCGCGCAATTTCGAATTCTGACGCCGGCGAGTCCTCCCGCCGCCTTACCCTCCCGGAAATTTTCGCACGGACTCTGTGAGTCGGACGCCGAGGCTTGAAGGCCTCGAACCAACCACCTATCCCCTAAACCCCTGACGGCCGAAATTTTGTCTTCCGCCGCCATGGCCCTCCCCCCTTGACGCCTTTTTCCGTCCTAATGCACGACGGCAGTTCGTTTTTGCGGAAACCTTTTTGATTTTATCATCTCGGAGTGATCCGACCCCCACGGGACTTCGCGGCGACAGTTCGACCCCGGGGAAAACCTCTGGCACGAAACGAGGGCCTCCCGTTCCGTCCGGGAAACTCAACCCTTACGGCCAAAAATCCTCGGCCACGCCCCTCCTAAAACTCTGATCGGCGACCCCGTACGGGACACCGCGAGGGGGCGTGAGGACGCATATCACATGCGGGCTTTCTTCTGTGAAGATGTTCCTTTCTGAGCTTCATCTGACCCTGCCCGGGGCTCAGGCGAATGGTCAGAGGAATCTCTGGAACCCCCCTGTTTCAAAAGCAGGGGTTCATGATCTTCGTCCATGCCTGTAGTCATCTGTAGATTGCCGTAGTTAACTTCATTTTCTCTGTTACCTGGGACAGTTCTTGTTTCCCTTGTGCGCAGGTTTCCCTGTGTGTCCATTCCCCTTATTCTCAAGCCGTCTTCATAAAAGACCACAGACGACCTTTCCGCTGAGAATAAGGCATTCGCGTGTTGGGAGGGATAGTGGCCAAATTGCTGGTTGCCGTATTCTTGCGACCTGCTTCTGTAGAGTGGTTCTGAGACTTCAGAGTCCAGATCGGAAAAGGCATTTCTTTCTAGTTGTAACATGCTTCGTGTGTCGTCCTCCTTGGCATAGTAGAGTTCGCGTTCCCGTTCGTGGTGTTCTGACGTTTCTGGCGAAGAAGGGGGGGGGGGTTAGATCTCCTACGCCATGGTCCCTGGTCATGACCGTGGCCCATGTGGCGTGAGACTGAAGCCCCACCGCTTTCTTGTCCCCCTTTCGCCCTCCACTCTTCTCCCCTTCCCTGCTGGTGTGATCCCTCCCGGTTTCCCCTGAAGTGATCTCGGCCAGCCGGGGGAGGGGGGGGAGGGGGCGGAAGAGGGAGTGGATGGGGAGATGTGGGAGAGGGGGCGTTGGTGGAGGTGTGTGTGCCCTCCATGCGTGAGATCGTTCATTCTGTCTACCTCCTCCCCAGTTGCACGCTGGGCATTCGTCGTCAAACTCTGAGCGAAAAAAACCCTTACACTCTGAACACCACAGGGTATCGGGGGCCGCAACCTTGATTTCTACAGTTCCACCATTATTAGGCCAATCAACTGTCAGATATCGGGTATAGTTTTCTTTGGCAGCCGGTTCGAAATAGAAGCCGACGCTTGCCAACTCGGGTTCTTCCGGCTTTTTGGTGACTGAATTTTCTTTAAGAAACAAGTGCGGTAGTAGCACACTTTCAAACTGTAAAGGCAAAAAAAACACTAATGGGCAACGGAAAAATGGCCGCAGTTCGAAAAGGAAGTCATAACATCAGAAGGCGGTAACATCAGGCCCCGAGTTTGAAAA